TTGGGAAATTTTTCTTCTATGATTTTGTTGAATATGTTTTTTGTACCATTGAGCTGAGCTTCTTGACCTTCTATATCTATTATTCTTAGATTTGACCTTTTCACGGTGTCCCATATTTCCTGGATATTTTGTGCTAAGGATTTGTTAGATTTAAGACTTTCTTTTGTTGATGAATCTATTTCCTCTAGTTTATCTTCAGTGCATGAGATTCTTGTCTTCCATCTCCTGTATTCTGTTAGTTATGCTTGCATCTGTAGTTCCCTGATTGTTTTTTCAGCCTTTCGAATTCCAGCATTACCTCAGTTTGTGTTTTTCTTATTGTCTCCATTTTGGTTTTCAGGTCTTGAACTGTTTGAATTGTTTCCTTCATCTGTTTGATTGTTTTTTCTTGGGTTTCCTTGCTTTCTTTAAGAGATTTGTTGATTTTTTGGTTTGTGTTTTCTTCCATTTCTTTAAGGGATTTTCTCATATCCTCTTTGAGGGCCTCTATCACTTTCAGGAGGTTGTTTTGAAGGTCATTCTTTACAGTTTCATCTGTGTTGATATGCTCAGGTCTTGCTGGTGTAGAGTTTCTAGACTCTGGTGGTGTCATACTGGTTCCTCTTTTGTTGTCTGTGTTTTTCTATTGCCTCCTTCCCATCCTTTCAGTGGGAGCTCGTGGGGTCTCTTCCTCTCCTTAAGCACCAGGAAAGGACAGGAAGACACAGGTGTGGGAGGACTCAGGGTGGTCATTCTGGGAGGGGCAGTTCTTCTCTAGGCACAGAAAACGCCCAGGGAGACAGAGCTGGGGATGTAGAGAGTTGGGGTTCAGAGTGGGGCCCCCACTCACCTTAAGCACCAGGAAAGGACCAGAAGACACTGAAGACTGAGGTATGGGCAGACTCAGGGTGGTCCTTTGGGAGGGGCAGGTCTTCTTTAGGCGCAGAAAACGCCCAGGGAGACAGAGCCGGGGATGTAGGGAGTTGGGACTCAGAGCAGGGGCCCCCACTCACCTTAAGCACCAGGGAAGGACGGGAAGACACTTGCCTTACTCCTTTTCAAGCAGGGTCTCTCACTGAATCGGACCCTGTGTCTTTTGGCAACGTTGGTAGTCATAAATCCCAAAGTTCTTTTTGTCCCCGCCCCACTCAGGACTGGGGCTACAGGCATGCATGGGATCACGTCCAGCTTGTTATATGAATGTTGGGATACAAACTCTGGTCCTCAAGTTTGAGCAAGTGCTCATAACCTTTGAGCTATTGCTGTATCCTTAGAAAACACAATCTGAAGTAGATGAGTAAGGTACAGTGACTCAGCTTTCAAATGGCAGGAGAAATGAAGAAACGTCAACTTTTCTGTATTTCCAAGGTTGCCAGTTTCTAATATAATCACATACAAGAATGAACTGTGGGATTTTTTATTCCATAACTTTTCTCATCAGTGTTCATTTTCAGAATAAAGATGAATACACGATTGAACACCTTAGCAGGCTGCAAAAGAGAAGGTGCTGTGCATTCTTTTCTTGATGCTGAATTATTACACTTCTGGTTTTTAATATATGACATGCAGATATGTAATAAATATTTAAACTGTAAGTGAAGACAATTTGTAAATAAGAGTGTGCTTAATTTACTGATTCAGGGTAGAGAGCAGAGGGATGTTTTTCTGTAGGAAGCATGGATGTCCTTATGTTCAAAGATAACACTAGGGGAAACAGGAATGTTAAACACACAGGGTTGTCTCTTTAAAGAATGTAACTTGTTTTCACCCAGAAGGCTGGGAGTGGACATAGTTAAGAGCCTGGTAAACTTTGTACTATCTGTGTGGCCCAGGCCTTTATAGATTGTTTTTCTCAATCTATTAGAACCTATTTTTATGGAAGATGACATTTGTACTTTACCAAGAGTTTTGATGTAGTCATGTTTTAAGCTTGTTGTGCATATGGAATTGAGTTAATAATCACTAGGACACTTTCTACCAAGTTGTGCTGTTCTTAAATATGCTTAAACTGTAAAAGGTCAGACTCCTGAAGTTTAAACCAACACCTGCTACTGAGTCTTGTTGAACCGAACTGCCTTCTTGCCTACCTTGGATCCTCACTCTGCTGGCTCTGGTGGTTGCACCTATAACTGCTGCTCAAAGTATGGGGCTTGACCCTTGGAGAAGGTAAGACATTTTTTTCTGTAAATAGAAGTGGAGGGTAGCAGGTGGGTCCTCACACTCAAGGGGTCCCCACTGTGAGACAGTGAAATTAGCATGGGTTCTTCTCAGTTCTCTGATGCAAAGTATTTTATATGATTGAGATGCCTATTATAAAATTCAGAGGAGCAAAATATTCAGAGCAATAACTCTGCAGCTTTGTAGCAACAACTGTAAAATTCAATCATTGTTTCCTTAACAAGGAACCATTGATGTTGATAATTGGAAGTGCATAGGAGCTAATGCAAAAGGAGCCCAGAAATGGTGGATAAAATCCCTGTCAGTTATTTTGCAATCTGGACTGAAGTAATGTATTGCTTGGACCATCTCAGGAAGACTTAAAAAAATGTCTGCCGAGGAGGGGTGGTGGTGGCGCACGCCTTTAATCCCAGCACTCGGGAGGCAGAGGCAGGCGGATCTCTGTGCGTTCGAGGCCAGGCTGGACGGATAGCCTCCGAAACAATACAGAGAAACCCTGTCTCGTAAAAACAAAAAACAAAAAAAAAAAAAAAAAAAAAGTTGGGCTGCCAGCTCACAAATAACGACACAAAGACTTATTATTAATTATAGCAGATCGGCCTTAGCTTAGGATTGTTCCAGCTAGCTCTTATAATTTAAATTAACCCATATCTCTTAATCTATGTTCTTCCACAAAGCTCATTACCTCATCTCCATACTGCTTCCTCCTTGTCTGGCTGGTAACTCTCTTACCCATAGATTCCTTCTTCTCTTCCCCTCTCTTCCTGGAAATCCCACTTATCCTCTCCTGCCCAGCTACTGGCCATCCAGCATTTTATTACACTAGTCACAGCAATTCATCTTCACACAGTGGACAAATATTCCCCACCAGGACACATCTTGGCAGAGCCAGCCATGTGGTCTCTGAAGCCACCTCTGGTTGGTAGGAGCCAGGAGTGTTCAGGGCTTGCCCTCCTGTGTGATCTGAGCAGAACTCAGAGCCCTCCAGCTCTGCAGCCCTTTCTGCTGTCCAGTTGTGATCCAGTGGGGAGGGGAGTCTGATGGCATTGCCTAAGTTAAGTGGCCCCACTGCTACATGACTCATTGGAGCTTGGTTACCTCTGGGCTCCGGTTTTTGTCTTCTCTGGCAACAGGAATGACCCAATATTGAAGTGGCATCTTGTTCCACCAATAGACTTGAGCTAATGGCCTTAGGGTGTGGTTTTGGTGTGTGGATGTGACCCCTTATAAGGAAGAGGAGGGGCTTGCTCGGGCTCTCTCCTGGGGTCTTGTAGGAGTGAACCCCACAAAGCTAATTGCCCATGAGGGCGGGGACAAGTAAATTAGCACAGGTAGAGATAAAAGGAAGCGAAAGGAAAAAGGACCTCCTCTTTTGGAAGCCGGCCATACTTCTTACTCCCAGCTTGTGTGACTCTCTCTCTCTGGTAAATATATTGTATCCCCTATAACACTGGCTATCATCTTTAGGGTATGGCCTGAGCATTCTAATTGCAGAGCCTGCACTTGCATGGGTAGAAGACCACGGCAGTCATTTACCATCATTGTGTAGTGCTCCCTATATAAACTCCTGTTATCCTCTATTTGGGCATTTGCGGACTTCCTTTAACCCGCCTTCATAATATAGATTGATCGATAGTCCTTTCATGGAGAAAAATTAAAACAGGTTATGCATTCCTCTCTTTGAAGAGACAATCCTGTGTGTCTAACATTCCTGGTTACGTTAGTGCTTATCTGTGAGCACAAGGACAAGGACCTCCCTCCCTCCCTCCTATATTTTCCTCTCTGATGAACTTTCAATTCCTCCTTCACATGTAACTCATGTTACTTTCCCCGATAACATCATCAGCCTAAATAAATAGTTAAGTTACAGTCTCAGTTCCCTCACATTATGTGTGTATCTCTCAAACTGTTGTGCCCAAATTCTGAACCCCAAATCACTAAGAAGCCCATTTTGATGCAAAAGCAAAGAGTCTTTTATTAAAGTTATTTAACGAGCTAAACCCATTAGCTTGGGTCCTTCACTCGGCCACCATGGTTGATTTCTGGAGAAAAGACCCGGAGCAACCTCAAGGCAGGGATCTTAAAGGGCAGTGTAAGGGGAGTGTCTAGGGGTAAGGAACAGTCTCAGGATTGGTGCACTTCTGTTTGGATGACCTGCCCTGTATTGATAGGTCAACTGGTTGTTATGTCCCATAGGCCCTCCCAGGGTGGTTGCTATACTCTGTAAGTCGCTGTTGTGCACTTGTCCATAAAGCACACCCAAAGCTGTAAAGCACAGCCCCGCCAGCTAACTTCTGATTGGTTTCTTGTCACAAGAAGGGCATATGACCTCCTAGTGACCAGGACAGGAGCCGCAAGGTCATGCAAACACATGGTAGCCTGTTATGGCTGCTAAAATGGGGAGGCTGATCACTACAAAACCATCTTATACTATGTGTTCATATTTGTATTCCTCTTCTGAGAAGTCTCTGGGATCATTTTTTTTCCTTTTTTTGGGGGGGATCATTTCTTATTACATGCACAGTCCCTGATGCATACCAGGTACTCACTATTTCAACATAGGTAAGACCCGAGGCTCCAAACCTATTTCCCTTTCTTTTTTCTTTTTAAAGGTTTATTTATTGATTGATTTGTTTGTTTATTATGTATACAGGGTTCTGTCTGCATGTGCCAGCAGAGGGCACCAGATCTCATTACAGATGGTTATGAGCCACCATGTGGGTGCTAGGAATTGAACTCAGGACCTCTAGAAGAGCAGCCAGTGCTCTTAACCTTTGAACCATCTCTCCAGGCCCAACAAACTCATTCCTATACACAACAAAGAAAGAAGGATGAAATGTGCATTTGTTTTACATTTATATTTACTGAGTATCTGATACATACTAGGCAAAAGGAGCAGAGTTACTTCTCACTCTTTGACCAGTGCCCTCGTCCTTACAAAAAAGTCCATTCTGCCGAGTTGGCCTCCACTGATTGCTTGGTTACTCTTCAGGCACAGGTTTTGCAAGTAGTTTTTCACATAAAGCATAGTGATAAGAGCCATGAATAAATCCAAAGAGTACCTGAAATACTAGAGGAACAGCCATTGCTTTCATCCCAGTTTGACAAAGGGTTACCCAATAGAGTATAACTCTTCCTTTTGGTGGCAGTGGAACAGAATGATACCTGAAAATGAAAAAGAGTCAACTATGTCTCCTGGACTGACACACCATTGGAATTTCTCCCAAACTAGTCATTTCTAGTATAGGTCTACCATACAGATAACAAAGTTACATGTTAGCAGGCTACTTTGTTTTGTTAGCCTGTAGCTAAAGAAAAAGAATAGTTTATTAACAAACCTCCCCCACACCCCAGAAAGAAGGAAGGATTGAATGAATGAAAGAGAAGGGCTGGATAACTCAGTCAGTAAAATGCCTGCCATACAACCAGGAGGACCAAAGTTTGATCCAGGTCAATAGGAAAAAAAAAATAGCTGAACATGGTGATGTATGATTATAACCCAGTGCTGGGGAGGCAGAGACAGAAGGGTCCCTGGGATTCATTTTCTAGTCAGCCTAATGGTAAGCTCTAGCTCAGTGGTTCTCAACTTTCCTAATGCTGAGACCCTTTAATAATTTCCTTGTGTTGTGGTAACTCCAACCACAAATTCTTTTTTATGCTACTTCATAATTGTAATTTTGTTACTGTTATGAATAATAATGTAAATATCTGTGTTTTCCTATGATCTTGGGCAACAATTATGAAAGGGTTTTGACCCCCAAAAGGGTTGGGATCCACAGGTTGAAAATCACTGCTGTAGACCAATGAGAGACTCTGCTCAAAAATGTAAGGTGAATAGATATGGTGGCACGTGTTCAATCCTAGCACCTGTAAAGTCAGGCAGATTTTTTAGTTCAAAGCCTGCCTGGTATACACAGAGTTTTCCAGGCTATTCATGGCTGCACAGTGAAATCCTGTCTCAAAAATGTAAAATCAGGTGGACAGCTTGAGAAATAACACCTGGAGTTGACTTCTGGTTAAATGTACAACACAGACACACCATACACACACACACACACACACACACACACACACACACACACACACACACACACACGGTGGGGAGGCAGGGTACAAGAATGAAGGAGAAAGAGAAGGAATAGATACTTACTTAACTGCTAAACGTCCATTTTTACGAAAAGCCAGAGAACAGGGATATAAAACACCACATGTTACACCAATCAGCATACTTCTCACAATACAGTTTTCCTCGCTTAAGTTACCTAGAAAGTGAAAGATAACAATTAATACAATGAAACAGCTGTCTCAAAGCACAGTTATTTTGCTGTTTGCAACCACAATTAAACAGTAGAAAGGACTTTAGCAACTCAAAGTCTGGCACTTAATAGGCTTAAATGCATCTTGTTTTAAAACTGTACTTGCTATACTTTAAAATATGGAGAATTATCATTTATGTGTGATTTTTACAGAAGCAATGTCAGAGTAAGAATACTATCACATCTGATACCTGGATTCTAGGTGAATACATAGGTACCAGGAATATAAAGAGACCTTTTTTTTTTTTTTTTTTTTTTTTTTGTCACACACCTTTAATCCAAGCATTCAGGAGGCAGAGGCAGGCAGATAGAGTTTGAGGTCAGCCTTGTGTCGGCCTGGTCTACAGAGTGAGTTCTAAAACAGCTAAGGCTACAGAGAAAAAACCTATCCTGAAAAACAGAGAGAGAGAGAGAGAGAGAGAGAGAGAGAGAGAGAGAGAGACAGAGAGACAGAGAGACAGAGAGAGAGAGACAGAGAGAGAGAGACAGAGAGAGAGAGACAGAGAGAGAGAGACAGAGAGAGAGACAGAGACAGAGAGAATGCTTCTAGTCAGTATATTGGGGAAGAAAGTCATTAGACAAATGTTAAAGAAAAAAATAAGAGGGGCTGGAGAGATAGATCAGCACTTGAGTGTACCTGCTGTTCTCACAGAGGACTCAGGTTCAGTTCCCAGAACCCACATGGTAGTTCACAACCACTCCTAAGTCCAGTTTTATGGAAGAGTATCACTTGTCTTGCTTGATCAGTACTGTTGTACAGATCAAACCAAGAAAGACATGTAAATGATAAAATAATATACAAATATCTGAGAGTATTATTAACATTTGTTAATGAGTAACTTTTGTTAATGAGTAATTTGTCATAGCCCTATTATGTATCAAAGAATTTAAATTTACCTGAATGCAAAGCATCAGTTACAAAGAGCTTGTAAGTAATGACAGTAGACAAAAATGGAAGGATAGTCAAGGATACACAGGTCTTCAAAGCTTCATGTTGAACCTTGAAACTGTTTCTGAAAACGATGTTTGCCAGTAGTCCAGACATAGCACTAGAAGTTCCAAAGAGTAAAGTTCCATATATATTTACAGTCCTGATAAGACCAAAGAAAAAAACTAAGATTAATATAACATTCTTGAAATGGATCTATTCTTTCTTCAGTAGTTATAAACTATAACATATCTACCCAGCATCAAATATTTCTTGTTACTAAACTATAAAAAAATTATTTAAGATCATCTAGGGAAAAAATATATTCTCACATGGTTAGCCTGTCTAGAAAAGAACTATTTGTGAATTGGTCCAGATACACTTGAAATAATTTGTCTATGGTTTTAATGAAAATTCACTGAACAAGATTTGACAGATTTGATTTTACTTAATTCTGGCTCATACCGTGATTCAGTAAAGCTGCAAAGTGTAACTGTTGTTATTCTTGAGTTACATGTGTCAGGGAGAGGGAACATGTGTGCAAACACGAATGTGTGTCAGGGAGGGGGGCACATGTGTGCAAGCATGAATGTGAGGCTGATACTGGGAACTGTACATGACTGCTCTTTATTAATTAAGGCATGGTCTCTCAAAGTCAGAGCTCACACTAGTTTTGCCTGCCAGCTTGCTTTGGGGATTGCCTGTCTGCCTTCTAAAGCTGAAACTGCTGCATACCTCAAATTTCTATGGGTTTCTGGGGATCCAAAATGAAGTTCTCAAACAAAGAGCTCTGATCACTCAGTCACCCCCTCACCCAGCCTAGCTAAACAGCCTTGAATCCTAGTTGCTCTTCAGTAATAGATAAGTACCCTTCAAACTGCTTTCATAGCAATTGATTTTAATTTAAAAAATATTTGTACAAATAATATTTCAGCAGTAAGTTTGGGCATTTTTTTTTAAAGAAGCAAAAGAAGGGGCTTGGTTCCCAGAACCCACATCTGAAGACTTACACCAGTCTCTAACTCTAGTTCTAGGGGCTCCAAAGCCACTTTCTATCTCCTCTAGCATGTGCTCATTACACAAACATACACATAAATAAAATAATATAAAAAGAAATCAAGTCTAACAAATCATTATTTCAACCCATTGCTATTTCTGTCCAGTTCTTTAAAAAAAAAGTATTCTTTATAACCAACTCAGTAAGTAGTTTTATTTTTTTCTTTTTCTCCATGATTATTTATTAGCTGTGTTTTCAGAGCTTTTATGAAGGCATCTTTTGGAACTTCAATGTTGCCAGTTTTCCTAAAACCCTTCTCCATATAATGTGGATATCTACAAGATTCTCCTTAGACCACTGTTTAAGAGAGCAATTCAGGCTGCTACTGGAAGCAAAGTAACTACCAGAGAAACTGTGGAAGCCTATAATACAAACATTTTGGCAAAGTAGTATAGTGATGACACTACCCAGAAACGAAACTTTGGAAGAGACAAACAGAAGGAGCAAAACAATAAGCAATTTTTGGAGACTATAGAAAGGATGAGCAAGGAAAGTTGGTGACTCAGCTAAAAGTGTGTCTCTTACTTTTTTTGATAGTATTCAAGTTGTTTTTCAATAATTTCGGTGATTATTGGTCTGAATTTTGTATCCCCTAGAGAAGGAATCAGCCGACCATATATATGAATTGCCATCTTGATGTCCTGGAAAACATGAAATTCCAGAGTCATAACAGCTAACCATACTAACATTAAATAAAACTATAAAACTATACTCAGACAAAAAATATTTAGTCTACAAATGTTCTATGTACTATGGTGTCTGTTTTTGCAATATTTTAAGGACATGATTCAATCAGTATTTACTGTGCTCTTATTATCTGTTAAGACAATGTTTTTGTCTTTTGAGTTATACGATTATTTGTGTTTACATATGTGGTGGTTTGAGTAAGAATGGCCCCATAGGCTAATATATTTGAATGCTTAGTCATCAGGGAGTGGCAGTATATGAGGATTTATAAATATTAGGAGGTGCAGCCTTGTGTGCCACTGCAGGTGGGTTTTGATGTTTCAAAAGCCCATGCCAGACCCAGGTGTCTGTGCACCCCATCCCCCCAATCAGGTTGTAAGCTGCAGGGCCACTAAAATGATACTGGACTAACCCTTTAAAACTGTAAGAAAGCCTTCAACTAAATGCTTTGTTTAGTTGCTGTGGTCATGGTGTTCACAGCACTAGGACAATGACTAAGACAACAGATTAGAAATTAAGTTTCAGAAAGCTTGTCTCATCACAGAGATGATTTTTTTTCTTTTAGTATAGCTTTCTCTGTTCATTCCAAAAGAATAGAAGGCCCTACTTGTTTACCCTCTTCAGGTAAGGTCAGCAACAGGACCTGCTTGTGGACAATGATCTCCTGTCTTCTCTAATGGAAGCCTGAGTAATTCTGTAGATTATTTTGTGGTTAGGAGACAGCCAGGAGTGCTTGCTTTGGTGAATAGAAAAAAGAAAACTGGAGAAGAGTACTGTCCCAGCCTGGGAAGAGGCAGTGAGTGCATCAAGGTCATCTTGCACTTTTATGTTGTATATGCGGTTTCTTAGCAAGGCCTGGGAGTAAAGGAAGGCCTTTGTCAGAAACAGCAATATGGCATACCATGAAGCTTAGATTCATGGTAGTGGACTCAGGGATTGTAAGGTTCCTGTGTCCCACAAGATAAGTAAATAACTACCAACATTAGAGAACACAAGGGCTTGCTCAATTAATAGGTGAAAAACTAAAAAATAGATTTTAAAAGGATCTTTTCCGAATGTCTGGCTATGGGTACGACTTTTGGGTCTCTGTGGAGACATCTGTTAAGTCCTTTGGTGCTCTGAAATTCTGCAGCTTAAGTGTTTTTAATGTCATCCTTACAAGGAAATATGGACACTTCTTGCAAATCCAAAATTTCTGGTTGGAAATGTTTACTTATTTCATCAGTGAGAGGTCTACTGATTCCAAGTTCAGTGCTTTTTATTTTTTGTTCTACATTTTCTGGATTAGTCAATGAATGAGGGTAAAGTCAAAGACTCATTATACATTATATGTTAATATTTATAAGAGCATATACTAAACCTCAAATTAATGAAAACAAAATAAAACAACAAAAACAAGCAATGGATCCAGATGCCAAGAAAACAACACATACAAAGTATGGTTTCCTTGATCTTATGGTAGTATACAATAGATCAAAAGACCAGTTTCTCTTCCTCAATACAGAATGGTATTAAATCAGTTCTTTTCTTTAAAATATCTGAGGAAGATGGGGGACATAAATACAAGTTATATCTTTTTAAGGAGACTAGATTGAAATCTTTTGCCCTCCCCCCTATCCAAATGGAAACAGTACTTTCTAAGGAGATTCTCTACCCAATCCATCTAGTGTACTATGAAGGCACATATCAATAACATCATAGGTAATGAAAACACTTCACAAATTTTTTTTTTCTGCTCTCATCTGTAGCGAGCTGCCGGTGTTTTAGGCTATGGTGCTACATTACTTCACAATGATATGAGGCTAAGGATGTAAATGAAGACAAAGACAGTGGCTCATTCTTTTTGTTTGTTTTTCGAAACAGGGTTTCTCTGTATTGTTTTGGAGGCTGTTCTGGAACTCGCTCTGTAGACCAGACTGGCCTCGAACTTAAAAGATCTGCCTGCCTCCCGAGTGCTGGGATTAAAGGAGTGCACCACCAACGCCCAGCCCGGCAATGGCGTTTATTTTTAACAAGAGTGGAGCCTTAAATACCAAAGGCAGGTATGGTGGAAAAACATCAAGGTCAGGAGCCCTCTGGCAAAGGGTGGGCCAAAACCAGGAATGAGCATTTAGACAATAAAGGTGAACAGAAAACAGGAACTTGCATGTTGGCCTTACTGGGAGGAGGGGATGAGAAGTGTTTTGCTAAAAGCTGCTAGTCACAAGCGGTCAACAGACCCCCATGGGGTTAGGGTGCAACACTCATCCAGTTAACTTAACAGTCTTCCCCACCACTGACAGAAAATTTCCAGGCCTTTGTAACAGTTCTGTGGATAAGGGGTACTCAGAATTATGGTTACAGGACAGTAAATAATGAAATAATGAAAAGCGACAGCAAATATTTTTGTTATTTGGTGTTTGTAAGGCTTTCACTACACTCTCCTTGATTAAAGCAAGTATAGCATATTAACTTTCCAAGAAGTTTTTACTTATGTTTGTGGTGTTGGGATAGATGCCGGGTCTTGAGGCACCGTAAGTGCTCCACATCCTCATTTCCAAAAGGCTTTCAACAAGCGTTGAAATGAAGATTTTTTGCCACAATCGACTTCTAATCTAAAAGTTAAGGAAGTTCAAATTCACCCATCCGATCAGACCTCCATCCTATACAAGCGCATTTGTGTAGGTGTATGGTTTGCAAAGTGTTTTACAGTGTGTTGCATTTTTAAGCATATTTTTGACTTGACTTCCAGAATTTCATGCAGCATTCTCACATGTTTTATCCAGCACTGGTGCATGACAGGTTCCCAGGTAATCAAAAGAGTGTCTTCAAGAATTCATCACAACAATGAGAGAAATAGAGGTCGGGCCGGGTGGGGCTAGGTGAGGAAGTATTCCTAATTAAAGGAAAGGCTTGTAAAAGGTCCTCGAGGAAGAGAAACAAGATACATTTACTCTGGAGTAGACTTCAAGTCTACGTTGTTAGGAATTACGTCCTGCCTGCATAAAGTCGGGACTAGCTCTCTCTATTTGCTCCTTCACATGCACCACTTCCGGGGAGGTGACCCACGCCACTCCAGGTTTTCGCCTACCTGGGGTGCTTCTCTAGCTTCCATCCGCACCACACCACCATCCTTCAATTCAGGGCAAGCTTGAGGCTCGGACGCCGCCATCTTGGCGTCTCACGTGCCTGGCTGTAGGGCGTGGCTGGAGCGTCTGGGGCGGGACTTTGCAGCTGGCTGACAGCTCGCTCCCCTTGCCGGGTCCGCCCCCACCTAGTCAAAAGCCGCGCCCTCCAGATGGGTGGAGATTGGGCGTGGCGTCTGGAAACTGCGACTGCTCATTGGCTCCGAGGAAGGCGCAGGCGCCCGTGGGCCCGCCTCCGGCCAGCCTTGCTTGTCCTTTGCCTGCAATTTGTCAGCCTGGCCGCCTCTTGGCCAACCTGAAGGGAACCTGGGGCGGTTTGGGCTCAGGCCTGTTGCTGCGCGCCCTCTTCTCAGGGCGGCTGGGCAGGTCGAGCGCTGGCAGCTCGCTCCTTCGGCCTGGTCGGTGTGTTAAGGCTGTGGCTTCTCGGGTTCCTCCTCAGAGCCTCCAACCCGCCTCCCCCGGCGCGGCCAGAGCAGTACGGACTAGCCTGCTCTTCCCAGTCTTCAGTCCCCTCGTAGTCCACCCGCAAGCCCCGCTTAGAAAGGGTCCAGTTAGAAATCCCCTCACCCCTGCTCCCCAAAAGAGCCCCGGTCGGCCAGTGTTTCAGGGGTGGAGGGTGCTGCAAGGAGGCCAGGCGCGCTTCCGTGCACGTGAAATGCCCAGCAGCGTCTCCCAGACCCGCAACCCCCGACCCTCCAGTCTCCATGTCTTAGACAAGCCAAATTCGGGAGTTATATAATTTCTAGTGCTGCTGTTTCCCTTGCCCGAGGAAACACTTCATCGCGTGGAGGGTGCAGGACATTACGGTGCTCTTCTGTATAAGACCGGGGTGTGGGCAGGGGTGGCCAGCGGTGGCAGAGAAATGTCTTTTCTGCAAAAGGAAGGTGGGTAGCTTGGAGAGAGACTGAGAAAGGGTGGATGTGGGAGCCAAACAGCTGCACTCCCATTTAGGATATCGCGGACTATTTGCATAGTGTGTGGTTGCATGCCTAATACTACTACAGCGTCTCTGAAAACACCTTTGGGGTGAGGTTTGGTTTCTCCTCTCCAGCAGCCTCAGTGTTTTTCCTCGCCGGATAGGGAGCTGCTGGATGCAAAGAGATGGCATGATGTGAATGACTCCAGTGTGAAGAAGTCTGCTTCGCCAAATCATCCTGCATCAAGTGCCCATTGAATAGCACTGTCACTTTAATGTCTCCATGCCAAGGGATTGCTTTCCTTCTTTTAAATCCTCTTGGTTAATACATGGGAGGATCAGAATCAAAGGGCCATTAAGGATCAAGCATTGGGGGCTCGGAGAGCACAGAAGAAAAACATGAAAGTGACAAGCTGAATCCTGTTTTATTGAGGGGGTGAGATTCGGAACCATTAAATAGAAGGGGGTCTTTGCATCTCTGTTCTGCCCCAGAAAACTGTTCAAACTTGCACACCGTTTAAAAGACTAGAGTCAGACGTTTTTAAAAAGTATTTTCGAAGGAGGGGAGTTTAAACATTTTCCTAAGAACTGATGCTCTTTATTACCAACAATTTCGATTATATATAAAGTAACGGGACAATCACCCTAAATTTGGTTTGTGCCTTAATCGAGTTAGTAATTGAACATCCAAAAGTATTGCTGCCGGAAGAGAAGAGTTTTAATAACATTTTCTATGCATACAATAACTTCCTCAGCTTTTAAAACAAGGACACATATTTTACAAAAATTGAAAACCTTTTTTTTTCTCTCTGAACACTGTGGGCAGTGTAAAATGTCTGGTTGTGGAAAAATGCATCATTATTTTCTCTATTTGAAATAGAAGACTCAGCCTGGATATCAAGGCTGACGCGTGAAGTGGTTTGCAACAGTTAACCTGACTCCATCTCAATTCAGCTGGATCAAGCAGACACTTGCAAAGAGATCTTGAGTCCAGTATCAGTGGAGAGACCCAAGAATGCCAGTCAAGAAGAAAGGTGGGCTATGAGGTTCATATATAATATTTAATTTTCCTTTTTCTTGGATGTGGTATTTGTAATTTAAATTGTATTGCATTGGGCAAAACTTTGCCTTGTTTTGAGTAAATACTCATTGTAATACTTTCTCAGTAATAATTTTCTATAGTAAAATTAAGATGATATTATAGACATGTGAATTAAATCAGGCAGTTGGTGTCACCATTTATAATTAGAATAGATTCATTGCTATAGATTTGGGGTTGTCCTTAGCTTGTTAAAGCTCAGTTTAAATAATGTTTAAAAAGAAACTGGCACAATGGAGCTCTTCCCCCATGAACTCCTACTTATTGAATGATTATGTAGTTGTAACAGATAGCAAAGTGATTGTGTTTACCCTGAGCAGAATTATAGCTTTGTTATTTATAATTAAAAGCAGACTTCATATTTGAGTTTATTCCACTGTAAACCTTCACTATTGTGCTAATTCACAACTATGATAATTTATTCTGCATTATTCAATAACATGTTTGGGAAGTTCCCTCAAATATGCTTGCTTGTTTCTTCCTTTCAATAACTGTTATCACTTTGATCAAAATCCAGTGTAGTTTCTGGAGCATCATTTATTATAGATCAGAGACCTTAAGGGTTCAAGTTAGCCTAGAACTACCGGAGATGAACTATATACCACAAGGCCTTACTGAAACCAGACTTTTCTGTTTCTTAAAGAGGGCATCAGAAATAAAGTTTATAGAGTTTTGAATCAAAATTAAGAAGACCCTTGAAATTTACTGTCCTGGACTAGTATGGATCCAGTTATGTTTAGTTATGTTAATTATTACAATATTTAACCTGAGACCACCCCAAGACACATTTTCATATAAAATCTAGAGAATGTGTATGTTTTTTATGTTGTTTAATCTATCTGATTGTGGGTTTGGAATATGTATTGAGAAAAATTCCAGTCAATGATATGCTTTTTGTCTAAAATAGTCTGTGTAAAGGGGAACAGCACTATCTAAAACTAGTGAAACATATAAAATTGTGCTTTTCCTTTCTGGGGTAGAAAAGTAGGATTGTTTCTTCCTCTGTCGTTCTCCATAAGACTACTGGAAAGGGTGAGCTCTCTTTCATGTTTTAGAGTTGTACCTGGTGATGTTGGACAATATTGGTTTATGTGCAGCAAGAAAGGAAGGTTTGAGAAATGTGGCCAATAAACAATGTCTCTGATTTCTTTAACGCAGTGTGTGTTTTTTACTTTTTCTACCATTCCTGTAGACAAATCGAAATACCTTATTTCATTTTGCGTATAATTATAAATGACAGAGAGAAGGAAGGCACGAGGGAGGGAGAGAGAAGAGGAGAAATCACAATTGATGTTCTAGGTGTAACTTATGTAAGCAGAGTGAACTTAAGGGGTCTAAAGCCAATAGACTTAGTTTCTTAAAAGTTAATGATATTTTAAAAACTAGAAATTTTGGTAATATTATTGAAAGTACATATTTCATGAGAAATTGCTACATTTGATCTCTTTGCCTTCCTTTCTTCTTTAAAAAGTGAATTGATAAAATAGGATAAAATTTTAAAGGTGATGAGCAAGTTCTTCTAAAAAGGTACATATTTGAATAACATGAATGCACCTGCATTATGGAAATAATTTAATGAATTGATCTAGAGAATTTATGTAAATTTTAATTTTTAAAAATTGTTAGTGTTCTCATACTTGAAAATAGAGACAACTAGTCAAATTATTGCATGAATTTTGCATTTTAATTGCTAAGTTTGCTACAATATAAGAAAAGTGTTTTAAATTTTAAATTAGATTGTATAGGTCAGGCCATCCTTCTTTTGAATGCTTTTCTCAATGTATTGCTATATGGTATAGATATGTGAGAAGGAGATAGATATAATATGAAGTAAGATAATAATCCCCATTGAGCCAAGTGTCTACTCATTGTCAACTATATCCTCATCAGAATGTTAAGTTTCCCTAAGACATATTTTCATTTGGTGCTTATTTTGCATATTATTTCCATAGTAGAGAGGATATTTCTTTACTGATAACCTGTGACCCTGATGGGAAGTGGAAATGGGTGTGAGATCTCATCAAGCCCATTTGAGGGGCCTATTCTTGGCTAGCAACAACTGCTCACTTCACACATGCTCTTCTGCTTTGCGGCCATTGTGGTGTCTTTTTCTACCTTTCCAATTCATTCTACCTTTCCAATCCTTCCTCTTCACGTTGTTTTTACAGTTTTACCAACTGGAGACTTATATTTTGTTGTTACATTTTTTTCTTGAGTATTTTTTAATCCAATATTCTATTATTTATAGTAGTAACTTGATTTAATGTGAACTGAACCTATAGGACAATCTTTGACATGTTTTAGTTTGTAACATCGTAGAGTTAATACAAAGTCAGATATGATGAAAGGTCATCCCAGGTTGAAGAGGCTTCTTGAATTGAATGATAGAATTTCATATTGAGTTATTAATGTTGGAAAAAAGTTTGCGATAGTTTGGGATTCATGTTTTCAGTACAAATTGTCATTTTAAGTTGTCCCATTGGAACTTTTTAGTACGATGCACTTATGTTCTTAAACATTTTTGTTATAATTATTATGTATAGGAAAATTATTTCTTTTAGTAATTGACAACAGACATCACTTTCATTTAAAATCCTTTAGTTATCTTCTGGGTATCTTTTATGCTGGCATACAACTACCTCTGATATTGATCATTTAAAGGATACTTTTTCCCTTTGAATTCTTTTTTTTGCAGTTGTGTTCATGTATGAAATGGGCATATATAAAGAGATGTTTAGCATGTACTGAAACATTGTTTTCGTATTCATTCTTTAGCAATAAACCCTTAGAAAGGAAGCTGAATATTATATATCATGCTGTATATAATTTAGAGTTATAAAATGATGATGCCATATATCTTATGGGCATCCTTAACATTGAGATCTGTACTTTCTGGCCACTGTCTTTTATGACCCACTGTTTCTTAAAGGTGTCATTTCTGATTTTATTTGGGGGAAGGAACCTTATAACTATTCTTATTTTTTCTTCATTTAAAATTTTCTTCTTTACTTGTTTCTAGCACTTTATGACTTAAGCTAGTTGTAGTGTATCCCTGACTTACATTTGCCTCTCTTTATTATCTATAT